GCCAACCTCTGCCTCAGTTTCTCCCTCTTTTCGACAAATATAAGCCATTTTCCAATCATTCTCCTCTTTACGCTGTATTTGTCCGGAAAAATTGGCGTAGGTAGACCAGCCTTTGATGTCTCCACATCCTCTCGTGTAAAGATCTCTTGCGCAGTTGTATTCCAGACTTGAAGCAAGACGAAATACAGACAGTTGATCAAAGTAAACCGATAACTAATGGTACCTAAATTTTTTGTTTTTGAGTTCTTCTTCAGACAATCTGATAAGGTTGTCCTCTTTTACACAACAACCAAGCTCAGATCGTGCCGCTCGCCAAGCTACATCGCCTGTAGGAAAAAATTTTAGACCATCACAGAGGTCCCATAGAGATCTTACTTCGAAGTATCACATGGATAGAAATGAACACCGTAAGAAACAATAACAAACCTGAAGTTCTTCCTCCGTAGTTTTCTCCGTCTGTTTTTCGTTTTCCAATAACTAAGAACTCCACTAGCTCTCGAACTCGTCTTCTTCGTAGTTCTTTGATTCTATCCTGCGTGGCGTTGCTACCCATTCGTGAGTTCAGCTTCTAAATCGGAAAAAGCATATATCCAGCAGCTTGAAAATTAATAAGAACTCTCACCATCAAAAAATTGCTCAGCACTGCCTCACGAACTTTATTGCGCAACTTAAGTGTTTTCTTATGATCTACAGTATACCTCCATGTGACGTCGTATACATGGTCTGTTCCAAACGCTATCACATAGCTCAGCTTCTTGCCCCAACCCTGCAATGACGATGATGGCAAAGGAATCAAAATGGGCGATAAGAGTATCCAGCCACCTTTTCATAAAGCAGTGGCTTATCAATGACGTTTTCGCAGGGATCGCAATGAACCCAGTTATCATACTCGGGGATCCATAATTCAATCCATACGTGATCTGTGATGTCGTAAATGAAGCGCACATCGAAATCCATCGCGGCAGCCATCAGTGCAAAGCAGTTGGCGAATTCGCCGCAACGACCTTTTCTAAAACGAATATATAATTACTGAATTCTTGAATTATGACAGATAATAACATAGCGAGCAGAGTAATAAAAACCGAAAAAGCACCATACCTTGTCTCAAGCAACTTCGCAGGATCATTATACCTCGGGTAGCGAACCTCTTTACCACAAGTGCAGTTGTAAACTTCGACTCGGTTAGCACCACTTTCACGTTCTTCAATTGTGGGTGTGCCTGTAAGAAAGTATTACGTTACGAAAGTGCGTTTAGCCAATGCAACATTTACGAATTGAGCTCACCATTCAAGCCGGACCCTTTCGGAGTCTGTGTTCCACAACTTTCACAAGTGGGACTATCACACCAGGAGAAAAAATCGGTTTTGAACCAATTTAG